ATGCATAAAACACACTTTAGCCAATGGAAAAAAAGAGTCCAAAATGTGAACATTTTTAAAAAGTAGAAAAATATGCATGGATTTACAAATGGAAAGAAGAAAAGAAGCAGTTTTGCAATTTATAGGAGAGTTGGGACAGAACAAGAATGTGGGTGAGAAATCCATGGTGTCCTTAGAAAGTGTGCTAAAATCTGAGAGGCATACTTTTCTATGAAGAAGAAAAAAATGTGCGAGCAGTAGCTCCTTGAAAACTCTTATGTCCTGGTGTTGGAAATAAAAAGCATCTATACAATATGTTCCAGGAGTTTTATATATTTGGATAGTTTTTCTCAAACTGAACAACATATTTATTCCCTTCTGCAGAATGTAAAGAATGTAACATTTTCAGAAAGTAAAAAAAAATTACATGCAGGAAACCCCTGGAAGGTTTTTCTGCAGAATGTAAAAAACTTTACATTCTGCAGAAATTTTTTTCCAGGGGTTTCCTGGTAGAGAATACTGAGATGGGGTTCACCATTCCTTTCTTCTCGGGGTGTCCTAGGACTGTGCAGCCACACAGGCTTTCTCTTCTCTCTGGAGGCATAGCGGGGAATTGAACTCCCAATCTCTAGCTCTGCAGTTGATACTTATCTCACAGAGATATCCAGTCAGCTTATATATATAAGTACTTACATTTTAACTATGTACAAATCATCAGTTGCGGCACTGATTTGTAAAGTTACTTTTTATATATAACCATGGTTTAAAAATAAGTAGTTTTCTGTGCAGCAGAAAAAAAATTACACCTGGTTCTTGTTCAAAACCGTGGACAAAATCTCTTAACTTTATGCCACTCTAACCCAGTTTGCTACATTTTAGAGATGTGGTGGTGCTGTGGCTTAAAATGCAGAAGTTTCTGTGCTGCAAGGTCAGAAGACCTGCAGTCGTAAGATCGAATCCATGCGATGGAGTGAGCCCCCGTCGCTTGTCCCAGCTCCCGCCAACCTAACAGTTCGAAAGCATGCAAAATGCAAAAATGCAAGTAGATAAATAGGTACCACCACAGTGGGAAGGAAATGGCGTTCCGTGTCTAGTCGCGCTGGCCACATGACCATGGAATATTGTCTTCAGACAAACGCTAGCTCTATGGGTTGGAAATGGGGATGAGCACCGCCCCCTAGAGTCGAACATGACTGGACAAAACTTGTCAAGGGGAACATTTACTTTTACCTAACCCAGTTTGGGTTCCAAAAAGGTTTAATTAAAAGCTTGCTCACCTTCTTTAAGTTTCCCAGGGTCACCGCCAGATTGTTTCTGCATGGATTTGGACCATCAGCAGTAATCTGGTGGCTATTTTTTATACTACTAAATACTTCCCCCTCATCTCCAATGTCTCACATACTGTATTTGAGTTGAAGACTGATGGCAGTATGTATGGTAAAGTAGCACTCAGCGTTCATAGTGTCACTATGCAATGGTGGAGATACCTCATGCCACCACAAGGTATTGGCTCATGAATGGTTTGCTACTGGTCTCCCTATTTATTTGTCATAGCTAGGTTTTATGGGGAGCAGTTTCAACATCTGCTTTGGAGAGAATCAATGAATCAATCCAATAGTCATTAACAAAGAGTAAATGAAGATGCGTAGCCCTCCTGAACTTGTTGCTGTTGATTTGATTTATTTGTTTTCTTTTTTCCATAGCTGGCTGAATAGCTCAGTGAGTTAGAAGCCTGGCTGAGGGACCAGAGATACTTCCCAGGAGACGAGCCAGTGTGTGTTGTCTTGGGCAAGCTGCACAGCCCTAGAGTGCCCCTGGAAGAAGGGAATGGTGAACCACTTCTAGACCATGCTGGACAGGGTCACTATAAGTTGGAATCAACTTGATGGCATATGATTACTATCACTATTATTATTTTCCCCATAAAGGACTCAAGGCAGCTTACAATAAATGAAAACAATACAATAGTCATTGTTAAAAACACCATAAAATATAATATTAAAACAATTGAACACATAGCAATATTTTAACCACAATTAAAAACAGTTTTAAAAACATTTTTTAAAATCCATCAATTTAATAAATGAGCCGTTCCTTTAAAAAACCCACTTGTTGGGTTGCAACTCCCACCATCCTTCATTAATTAGTTCTGCTGCCTAAGGTTGTTGGGAGATATAGTTAAACTATATGTAAAGGATCAAGCTTTTCATACTCCTGCCTTAACTTTTTGCTCTGGTGTATCTCCCAAATGTTGCAAGTTGCAACTACTGTAAATGGCAATGGATTGAAACTGGAATAACCATCTGTTAAGTGGAAATGGCTGTTTAGGTTACAGAAAGATGAAACTTGGGGGACACTCATGTAGCGAAACAAAGGTCTTCACTGCTGGAGCTGAAAGGGCAGGGTCTTAAGCAGCTCGTTATGGATCAAGACGAACAGACATGTTATACTCGTTATATTACAGAGTCTTTCGCTGATAAAAGCATAAGCTTTGTTAACAAGTACAGACTTCAGAAATGGCTCAGCTTAACATTAATAATAATAAAAAAGGACTCAGCATTTTGACAGCGCCTCAGTCTAGAATGGAAGAAATATGCTTAGTGGTAGAAAAACCCTTATTAACTGCTCTTCTCACCTCATTAAATCACTGCCTCCCACACAGTATTTCTGTTCTCCTGTTATTCCAGTTGGCATTGTCTGTTCGTATGAGATCTCCAAATCCAAGACTATCAAAAGACATACTATAGAATGGCTATCAGGATTATCTGTCTGGCTGGGATAAACTGAAAGCCTTCTATCATGGCAAACCTACAGAATTCTGTAATTTACATTTATTCTGAGTTAGAATGATATAATTCGTTTTTTTTTTTAACATTTTACACCTGGTTCTTGGTATTAGAAAGGGCAGTGTAATGTATATGACAGATGAAAAAATGGTCACCAGATCAAAAATAAGGCTGAGGATACATGCTGAAAAACCCCTTAACACAGCATATAGTTATCTTTTCCACTAAAAATATCACTCACCCTCCTTGTTTCCTCTATATGTTGTTGCTGTGCCATCATTAAAAAAAACTGCCTAGGGCATCTTTCTCCAATGCAAAGTGATCTCACTTAGAAAGAAGGAGCAAGCACAAAATCCTTATACTTGTGAGATGTTGAAAATATGGCATAAATACATGAGATTATTTGCTCCATCTATATCCCCTCTATGCCCTATGCTGGACTATCCAAAATTTTAATCAAGAGAGAAATATATACAATTCAAAAATTGGAGAAGAATTGTAATTTATAGAATAAGAGACCTATTTGATGCAGGGAAACCAATAATGATTAGACAGTTAGAGGATAAAACAAAGGAAATAAATTGGCTAAAATTAGTACAGATAAGAAATTTGGCAACTCAATTATATCAAAGTTCTGGACCTATGAGAACGCTCACGGAACTAGAACAATATAGTATAGAAAAATATCAAAATAAAAGGAAGCGAATAACTTCAGTAATATATAAACATTTCGTTGAGAAAGCATTTCCCAGGGGTATGGGATATAAAATAACATGGGAAACTAATTTGAATATCAATATATCAGAGAAAGAATTCATGGAAATATGGACTACATGTCCATATAAATCCATATTAGACATAGCGAAAGAAATGGTTTTGAAGGTGGTCCACAGATGGTATTGGTACCCCACAAAATTACACAAAATTAATGGAGAAATCTCAGATAGGTGCTGGAGAAACTGTGGAAGTAAAGGCATACTAGAACACACGTGGACCTCTTGCCCCAAAGTGGAAGTATATTGGCCGGAAATAATTAAATAGATAGAAACATTGTTGAATCAAAAAATAATTAAAAATGAAGCTTTATTATTATTTTCAATACTTAAGGACGGAAATGAAAAAGTAGTCAATAAAGACCTACTTGCACATCTTATTGTTAAAGCAAGAGTTGGAATTGCACCAAACTGGAAAAATGCTCAAAATCTTTCAGTACAAAAACTTGAGAACAGAATCTGGCAAATGGTCCTGATGGAAAAGCTGACTGACCAATTAAATTAAAATCTATAGAGGGGAAATATAACAGGATAAATTTATAAAAACCTGGCAACTATTATTAACATAATGAATTAGCTCAAGAAAAGAGAATGTGATATGGGAAGTAATTTGGATTGCTAGCATGTAATATTTTAAAAAGAATTAAGTATGTTAAAATATAAATGAGTGGATGTATAAAGAAATACAATCTACTGAAATAATGTGAGTAATGTGATAGTATTGTACTACAGTTCTAACTTGCATTGTCATACTATGGATGTTAACAAAATTTTAAAAATTAAAAAAAAGATCTTAGCTAACCAGGAATCAAGTGAAATAGGTCACCAATCAGATTTAGTTGAATGCTAAATTAAAAATAGGTTTAGCCGCCTAGAGTGGCCCTGGGTTGGCTAGATAGGCGGGATATAAATAAAATAAATAAATAAATAAAATAAAGTGAGTGAGGTTCTTCCAAGGGGATGTTTCTGAACGATTAGGTCTTATTATGTAGTGAAAGACTTTTCTGAGGCTACAGCTAGGCTGTAGGTGGAAGGGCACACAAAGCTTTCTTTCTGTTACTGTCTGTATTTTTACTGATACAGTGAGGTCTTGACTTGAGAACTTAATCCGTATTGGAAGGCGGTTCTCAAGTCAAAAAGTTCTCAGGTCAAATCTGCATTTCCCATAGGAATGCATTGAAAACCATTTGATCCGTATCTGCTCTTTTCGGTCCATAGAAATTAATGGGAGAATCCAAATATTTGCCATATGCGTGAGGACTGACCCACTCTGAGGCTGTTTTGGAAGTAACCTGAACTGATTTGTTCTCTGGTCATGAAGGTATTCATATAGTATATTTATGGATCACCTTTGAAACAACAACTGAGCTTGGGGAAAACCAAGGGCTATGACCTCAGATTATGGAGCCCTATCAATTCTGAGAATGTAGTAGACCTCAAACAGGAGGTTAAGTGCACTTACCTTTCAAAACAGTTATGTACTTTTTCAGATGCAGGGGAGTTATTTTCATCAGGAAAGGAATAATCGCCCAGACCACTCTAAATGCAGCAGCAGTGCTTGGAAAATAATCCAGAGATGGACATCCTGGGTAGGTGATCATCCCAGTCAAATAGCATAGCTTCCAGAAATATGCCTAGGCAAGAAAGATGCTGTTTGAAGGGATGACAAAATGTGTCAAAGATCTAACGTGAATAGAAAGGCTGGTCTGAACCGAGAAATATTTGGTTCCTCTCAGTTCTGCCAACAATCTACAAAAGCAGAATTTCTTTGCACACCACAGACATTTCTTTGCAGTGTAGAGGAGAGGAAGATAAAAAGTAGAAAATCTGACCAAAGCCCAAACATCCACATTCCTCCCCAGTCAAAAGCAGATTTGCACACCACAGACATTTCTTTGCAGTGTAGAGGAGAGGAAGATAAAAAGTAGAAAATCTGACCAAAGCCCAAACATCCACATTCCTTCCCAGTCCTAAAATCATAACATAAAAGTGTAAGCAGATTCATCTATAAAATGTATGTACTGTATAGATGGCTTTTTGTGTGTGTGAAATTTACATCTTTCTCGCTCTCAGTCTCTCCCTGAAGGAGGAAAGTGACGTAGATCTCCTCTGCCCCATCTAAAAGCAAAATGGCTATCTGAGCAGGCACAGGGCAATACATAGACTCTGGGGACCTCACGCTGTGCCCTCCCCAGTAATTCCATTCAGAATCCTCAGGAAATGTGTGTGGCACTTAATTGGTGGTTCAGCTGTCACCCACCTTCACTTCTAGTGTTTCCTTCTTGTGCTACTGTTTTAATCTTAATACTGCCGGAGTGAATTTGCATTATCTGTTCAGGAGACCAGCCTTCCTAGGGGGGGCAGCTGAGGATGTCTTTCTCTGGTTTGTCCTGAAAACAGATGAAATAAGAATAATAAAATAATGCAAATATCCTGATTCAGTCCCTTTGAAGGCAGTATACACGTCTCTAATACAAATGTCTTCAGAAAGGTGGTAAACTAACATTACTGTTGTGTTTTGTTTCCATTTCAATATTATTTAATAAATATCTTAGCTGTTTTCCCAAGATACTTTACAATACAACTCTGTAAAACAGAGTGTCAACAAAGTATAAAGTTCAGGAAAAATCAGGAAAAGTTTGCATGGTTGTAGAAATGATACAAGCTGAGGAGGGAATTAAAACCACCACCCCTTTTTGCAGACTGCACCCATTTTCAACTAAGAAGCTGATGTGGCCTCAAAAACAGCCATGTGGCTTTGGGACAATAATAACAGCATATAATTTTGGAGCTATCCACAAGAACCTGATGCACAGCCTTGAAGATGATGATTTATCATTGAAAGTTTTTTTTTGTTTTATATTCTTAATGGTTGATTAAAGGTATCACCTGTTCCTGTAACAAAATATAAAGCTACTTTAAAGTGAAATAATTTAAAAACTAGCCAGCAAAAAATGTAAGATTTTATGAAATCCAATTTAGTTCAAATAAGTAAATGAATGCTGCACCTGATTTTGAATTCTACCATGGTCTGTCTGTTTCTTGCCTCCATACTCTAATTTTCTATTTAAGATTTTTAAGTACTGCTAATAATGGGAGGCATTTAGCTTACCAAGGGCAACCAACAAGACAGTTACATTTTATATTATGCCATGATGGGCAGTATGGCTAGGAACTCAAGAAATCTCATATCGAGTGTTAGTGGAAAGGAAAGGAATCTAGGATTTCACCCAACTCTGAAAACCAAAGTGAAGCCTTCTTATTTGCTTCAAGGATCATCTTTATTCATTACAAATATTCTTGTTTGGGAAGGTCATGTCTAGAGGGTGCCACTACTTTGGTTTTTAAAAACAGATTTACTTGAGGCAAAATCTTCAAACATTACCAATACATTTTCTGAGATTGATATAAACCAAATCAGGTCACCATTTTAATATCAATGAGACCTGCCTGCATATTGGAAAAAGATCCCACATGGTCAGTGCTTACTGAGCAGAACATTGCCGCCTAGAGTGGTCCTGACCCGACCAGATAGGCAGGATATAAATAAAATAAATAAATAATCAAACAGCCACAGCTTTCAAAACCAGCTTCCTGAAAACCAGCCGTGTCTACAAGAAGTTCCTGGCCAGCATGTTTGTTTTGGAAAAGAAGGTTTGGGGCAGCAAATGGGAAGGAAGGAGGTAAGAGACTTGATTGAGAACCAGGAAACAGAGAGTATGTGTTAATGGGCAATTTTTACAATGGAGAAAGGTGAAGAGTGGTGTGCCACAGGGATCTGTCCTGGGATCTGTACTTTTCTACCTGTTTATAAAGGACCTGGAGACAGGGATAAGCAGTGAAGTGGTCAAGTTTGCAGATGACACAAAACTTTTCTGGGTGGTGAAGACCAGAAGGGATTTTGAAGAATTCCAGAAGGATCTCTCCAAACTGGGAGAATCAGCAGCAAAATGGCAAATGTGTGAGCTATCCGTGATGGATCAGGAAAGAGATCTTGATGTGGTGGTGGACAGCTAGATGAAAGTGTCAACCCAGTGTGTGGCAGCAGTGAAGAAGGCCAATTCCATGCTAAGTATCATTAAAAAGAGGACTGACAATAAAACAGCCAACATTATATTGCCATTGTACAAAACAGTGGTAAGGCCACACCTGGAGTATTGCACACAGTTCTGGTAGCCGCACCTCAAAAAAGACATTGTGGAACTGGAAAAGGTGCAGAAGAGAGTGACTAAAATTATTACTGGACTGGGGCACCTCCTTTATGAGGACAGGCTACAGAGTCTGGGGCTCTTTAGTCTAGAGCAGGTGTCTCCAAACTTTTGAGTGAGAGGGCCAGATTGTATATTTTCAACATTTTTAAGGTCAGGTTGTGTGTGTGTGTGTGTGTGTGTGTGTGTGTGTGTGTGTGTGTGTGTGTGTGCATACCCCCAACCCAGATGCCTGCCTGCCCGCGCACACCTACTTCATCCCCCCC